AGCCATTGCTGTGGCCTTGTGGTGGCTTTTGCGTGCGGCAGTGGCGCGTGTTGGGCTTGTTGGGGTACCTTTTCCCTGCGGAGCTGGCCGGACTTTTGGAGGGTTTGGAGGGTTTGGAGGGTTTGAGGCCTGGCAAACGGCAGCCTTGAACGCGTATAAGAAGCCATTGCTGCGGCCGGGGGGTGCCCTTGAGCCATTGCTGTGGCCTTGTGGTGGCTTTTGCCTGCGGGAATAGCGCGTGTTGGGCTTGTTGGGGTACCTTTTCCCTGCGGAGCTGGCCGGAGGGTTTGGAGGGTTTGGAGGGTTTGAGGCCTGGCAAACGGCAGCCTTGAACGCCTATAAGAAGCCATTGCTGCGGCCGTGGGGTGCTCTTGAGCCATTGCTGTGGCCTTGTGGTGGCTTTTGCCTGCAGCGTTGGGCGTGGCAAGGGTTCAAGAAAGACAGGATCCACACCTCCGGTGGTCCCAGGCGCCGCCCCGGCCTTGGGGAAGGCCGGGGTCGGCGGATATGTGAAAAGTATGTGCAAGAAGAGTTTCTGGGTGAAGAGTCTGTGGGTGTACATGTGTGAAAAGTATGTGCAAGAAAAGTTTCTGGATGATGAGACTCTGGGTGAAAGTATATGGGTTAAAAGTTAAAAGTATGTGCAAGACGAGTTTCTGGGTGAAGAGTCTCTGGGTGAAGAGTATATGAGTGAAAAGTATGTGCAAGAAGAGTTTCTGGGTGAAGAATCTCTGGGTGAAAAGTATGTGCAAGAAGAGTTTCTGGGTAAAGAGTCTCTGGTTGAAAAGTATATGGATGAAAAGTATGTGCAAGAAGAGTTTCTGGGTGAAAAGTTTCTGGGTGAAAAGTATATGGGTGAAAAGTATGTGCAAGAAGAGTTTCTGGGTGAAGAGTCTGTGGGTGTATATGGGTGAAAAGTATGTGCAAGAAGAGTTTCTGGGTGAAGAGTCTCTGGGTGTATATGGGTTAAAAGTATGCGCAAGAAGAGTTTCTGGGCGAAGAGGCTCTGGGTGAAAAGTATTATATGGGTGAAAAGTATGTGCAAGAAGAGTTTCTGGGTGAAGAGTCTCTGGGTGAAAAGTATGTGCAAGAAGAGTTTCTGGGTGAAGAGTCTCTGGGTGAAAAGTATATGGGTGAGAAGTGAAAAGTATGTGTAAGAAGAGTCTCTGGGTGAAGAGTCTCTGGGTGAAAAGTATGTGCAAGACGACTTTCTGGGTGAAGAGTCTCTGGGGGAAAAGTATACGGGTGAAAAGTTTGTGCAAGACGAGTTTCTGGGTGAAGAGTCTCTGGGTGAAAAGTATGTGCAAGAAGAGTTTCTGGGTGAAGAGTCTCTGGGTGAAAGTATATGGGTGAAAAGTATGTGCAAGAAGAGTTTCTGCGTGAAGAGTCTCTGGGTGAAAAGTATATGGGTGAAAAGTATGTGCAAGAAGAGTTTCCGGGAAGAGTCTCTGGGTGAAGAGTATGTGCAAGACGAGTTTCTGGGTGAAGAGTCTCTGGGTGAAAAGTATGTGTAAGAAGAGTTTCTGGGTGAAGAGTCTCTGGGTGAAAAGTATATGGGTGAAAAGTATTTGCAAGAAGAGTTTCCGGGTGAAGAGTCTCTGGGTGAAAAGTATGTGCAAGAGGAGTTTCTGGGTGAAGAGTCTCTGGGTGAAAAGTATATGGGGGTAAAGTCTGTGGGTGAAAAATCATTGGGGGAAAATAGGGTTGGATGGGATGCTGGCTTTCGTACCCCCTTCTCAGGTATGTGTATATACACATAACAAATATGTAAATATAAAATAATATATTTACACGTTCTTTGGCCGTTCCTTTGTTTCATGTTTTTTCCATCACACTTTGAAGGGTTGAAGCTGGAGACCAGAGTCGATCATCAGCCGGAGGTGGTGAATCGCCCAGCATTGCCTGGCAACAGCCCATCGTTGGAAGTGGATCCTACTATGCACGACTTGGTGCAGCAGGAAAATTGCTGTCACGATGCAAAGATGCTGAATGCCAAACCATGCCGAACCCTAATGTTTCATATTAAACGGTTACATGATGTTACATGCTATTGCATGTTGTTGGTGGGTTTCTTCGGACTTCAAGATTTTGGCCCAACCTAAATCATCCCAAGCTTGGTGCAGCGATCAGTGAACTCTAAGTTGCCAATGCTGGGCTAGGAGAAGAACCGCCAGATGCGATGCATCGAGCTCATTGCGTCAGAGAATTTCACCAGCCGCGGTGTCATGGAAACTTGGAAGACCGATGATGAGACCGGTGAAAAGACGGATGAAAAGACGGCAGAGCATGGTAGAGCGATCTGTAAAGATCTGTGAAGATTTGTGATGCAAGGCAAGGGCAAGGTGGAATGACGGACGTATGACCTGCTGCGTTAAAAGCGCCTTTGTCACCCTTTGTCCTTGTGCATCTTAAACAGTCTGAGTGACGTAAGCATTCATCTCTGTGTGAGGAGTGCTTGGGCTCTGCATTGACCAACAAGTGCCTTAGTTGTCACAAAGCCTTGCATTTGAAGAGTTGAGAAGCAGGAAATAGCAGGAATATCATGAACGGAAACACTTTCAGGCCTTGCTGGGAATGTTTGGCAGAATTGCCTTTTTGTCTGGAGAGACCCTTCAAGCATCGCTTTCCAGATCTTTCTGCTCACTTTTTTGTCTTAGCGGACCGTCTTTGTCGGTCTTTGTTCCCTTAGGTATTCCGAGGGCCAGCCAGGAAATCGCTACTACGGTGGCAATGAGGTTATCGACAAGGCACAGTGCGGAGCTGTTGAGCTGTGACTCAGATTTTGATTCCGGTTGTGACGTGCTGTGACCAACGGAGAAGGTCTGGCAATCACAGGGCAGCATGCAGGGCAGCATGGTATCTTCTTATTTCCTTTGTGAGAACATTTTGTGCTTTCACAGGTGGAGAATCTGTGCAAGTCTCGTGCGTTGAAAGCCTTCAATCTGGATGAGAAGGCTATGCTGAATAGATCGCAAATGATCGCAGTTTCGGCTAGATGAGAGTTCCTTTTCGATCATGCCTTGAAATCAACGGTGCAACAGAGAGATCTGGAGAGATCTGGCCTCCAAATATTGTCACGGCTTCAGCTTCATGGTTTCGTCAGGTCTATAAAATGGTAGGGATGAACCTCAACAGCCGCTACAAGAGCATATACAGATATATAAAGATATATAATACATAATATGATAATATATATACATACATTACACATCCTAGACATAACTGCTATTTGGAGGCCCGTTCCATTCGTGAGGACTGGGGTGTGAACGTCCAGCCCTACAGTGGAAGCCCAGCGAACTTCGCTGCACCTCGGCAGAATTGACTAAGGGAAAATCTGCAGGAAAGCCCCATATTTAATGGGAAAATCTATGGTTTCCTGTAGATTTTCCCTTAAACCAATCCAATGAAATATGCATGTTTCAATATATGCTTCCATGTTCATCCATTGTCATTCTGTTTATCTATTGACATCTATTGACACAGGTAGATAAGGTAAAGAAACATTCATGTTTTAATGTGTTATAATATGTTCCCAGCAACCCACTGGTTCGCCCACACTCAAACAACACATCCAAACAATATGATATACTTATCACCATAGGATGAATGAAAACACTGGCTACACGCAGTGATTTTGACTTTAAATTTTCAGGATTTAGGGTTTTAATTTAGGGTTTAAGGTTTTAGGGTTTTGATGTTTGTTGTTTTGGAAAGTAAACAACTTAAACCCTGCGAAGGGATTTGAGCATGTCAAAGGATATGCGGGATTGGCTGCGGGCAAACCTAGGGGTTTTTTAGCGAATATGGTTTAATGTCTTCACAAAGGTGGACACATGTGCTTCAGTATTTCTGAGTGGTACCCTCTGGTAATTTAACATAGCTATTGAAAATCACCATTTTTAATGGGGTAAATCCACTATTAATGGTCATTTTCAATAGCTATGTTAAATTACCAGAGGGTATCTTATGGGAACTTTAAGTGACAAACCGATCCACACAGCCGTTTTCATGGCCAGGTCTACACGGCACTTCTGCCGCCGCACAGTCGTGTCATGGGATTGGACTTGCCATCGGGTGGACACTTGACACATGGCTACTACACCGCCAAGAAGTGCTGCCCTCGGTAATCTGGAAATATCTGGAACATGTCTTGTGATGTCTTTTGATTCTTGTGGATTTTCATGGACCTTGTGGCAAATTCTACCACTAGCAATAGCTTGCTGCTTCCTTGCTCCGCTGGGTCTTTGATGGTCGAGGAGAAGTGTGTGCCTTGTGTGTCAGGAAGATCAGCGCCACTTCGATCTACTTCGAGTCGTTGCCGTATCGAGTGCATCCTGAGACCGGGCTGATCGACTTTGATGAGCTCCGATGCTCGGTGACCAAGAAATACCGAGGTCCCAATAGACCTCCCAATAGACCTCCCAAAGATTCGTGGATCACAGGAAAAATATGTTGGCCTTGCAAGAATGTATTAATATGTGTTACATAGTAAGATTTTGTATAATTTGTAGATCTGGCAAAACGGGTCTTCATTTAAAACTGAGCTAGTGATAACATGTTGCAACATGCCATAGATGCCGGGGGTGAATGGTTTCATGTGTCTTTGGCATGCCAGTTTTTCCGGTTTCACGCCCCAGGAAAGACAGCTTTGGTCTTCCGGCCAGACATGATCTTGTGCGGTGCTTCCGCCTATCCGCGCATCATCGACTTCGCTCAATTCCGCCGCATCGCGGACGAGGTCCGATGCAAATGTCGTGGAGTCTCTTCAACTCGGTTTGCGCGTAGAGGCAATATGATGATATGATATCCTGCAGCAAATGTCAGATGCATTACCAACTCGCAACAGATACATACTGTATGATACTGTGCTACTTAGAGGAGAAGGAGGTCTAAGGCTAAGGAGAGGGACGCACATCAGAATCATAGAAGCTTTTGGCGGATCTCAATTGTGGCTGTCAACCTTTGATTTGTCAATCATAAAAGCGAAAGCGTTCATTTGATTTCATTTATAATTTCTATTATGTACTATTATGATTTATTATGTCATTTCATTTGTGTTTTTTTGAAACCATTGTCACATATTGTCACCTTGCATCACCTTTCACTGGGTCTCCCAGTCACCCAGGTGGGTGCCATTCTGATGGCAGACATTGCGCACATCAGTGGCCTCGTGGCCACTGGAGAACATCCAAGTCCCTTCGAACATTGCGATGTGGTGACGACCACCACGCACAAGTCCTTGCGAGGGCCACGTGCTGGCATGATCTTCTTCAAATATTCGGACGGCGCATGCTATGGGCATATGATCAGGGCGGAAGATGGTGAGAGACATCGAGAGACAACAAAGGGAATACAAGTGGATACACATGGCCCAAGGTTTAAATTCTTTGCAGTGAAATGTCTATAAGATTTTAAGTCAAACTATTGTGCAGTGATGGTCATGCATTGCAAATCTGATGATTCCCTTCTGCTGAAACAGACATTTCACACGATAGAGTTTGATCTGATGGTTTTACGGCATGATAGATTTGCTCACTGAGCCTGTCCAGCAAGATGCGGAACATTGCAGAACACTCCACGTTGCAGATCTTTCTGGCTATGTCCATTTTGCTATCAATCAGTTTGTGTTGACAGAGGAGAAGATTCCGGACATCAAGGAGCGCATCGACATGGCCGTCTTCCCAGCATTGCAGGCACCGATCCATTTCTGTTGAAGTTCAGTTCGGAAAGACATGGAATCTGAAAGGCATGAGGAGACAGGAAAGGTATGGAAAGGTATTAAAAGACATGGAGAACAAAAGTGGTGTGCGTGGTGATCCAACAAAGTCATGTGCATAGTTTTGCGTGTGACTTGGATCCTGGGGACCTGGTTTGATCACTTTGGTGGCGCGTATCTCATCGGCCGCCAGGGTGGACCCCACAATCACCAAATCGGCGCTTTGGCCGTGCAGCTCCTGGAGGTGGACAGCCCAATGTTCAAGGAGCCGAGTCGGAGCCGAGTCGGCTGCTTCGCCAAGTCTTGAGTGTATTCTTTCGGTGTGAACCAGATCAAAATATCACCATGTCATGTATAATTCATTCTAATTCTGTATCATTCGATTCTGATCAGTATTTCGACACCTCAGCATCGGATTCACATAGCTCAGTGTATTATGTACTTGAAATTGACTATTTGATATGACTATACCACGGTTCTCATGTTTGTTCTTGATGTTTCATCATTGTCAAGCCATCCTCAAAGTTTTCACGAACTGTCACCAGGAGTATGCCAAGCAGGTCGGACCAGCAGAAGGGGTTGCTGCAGTTTGCAGTCAGTTTTCTGTTGAAACCGAGCTTGGTCGAAAATCCAAGAAAGCCATCACTTGAGATTTTGTTTCGATCATGATTAACCATCATGAATCATCATCATAATAATCATGATTATTAATAATGTCAATAATTAATAATAATATATAATAATAATATTCATTAATAATCATATTTTTTCCATTAAAGTGTTACATGATCATTAATAACGATGTTTCTCCAAGCTGCCTAGAAAGCCAGTGATCTGCTCAGGTGAAAGCCAATGCCAAGACGCTGGCTGATACTTTGATGGGCAAAGGTCACAAGTTGGCTTCGGATGGTGCACTCCCCAGCAAGTCGTAGTCCTCAATCTATCGATCATGGACATGAATTTGGACCTATAAGTCATAGTCAAACAATAATGGACCTTATTGAAATTTATTGCGAATTTATTGAAATTTGGTTCAGCTGTTGTAGGTGGTTTACAGGTTACCGGAACGGTTGCCGGAACGGTTACCGGATACTGTATGTTTAGATGGAGATGACCAAGGCACAGACAACCACCTTCTGCTTTGGGACCTGCGACCCCATGGTCTCACAGGCGACGTGGGCAACATGCCAGAATTTGAATGACGTACAGAACTCATAATGAATCAATTATGAATCATATAGAATCTATAGAAAGATGCATTTTAGCCATTTGAGCAGCGTTCTAAATTCTCCTTTACTTGTTTAGTATTGGGTTTGAAAAAAGTCCATTCTGTCGTAAGACTTTCCTTGGGTTTCATAAGCAGTGCGAAAGGTTTGACGTAAGCATCGGTCACAAACATCCCGCCCGAACGGAAACCGCGCGTGGCGGCGTTGACATTTTTGAATAACCTCTTTGATACAAAGTGCATCAAACGTGAGGTTTCGGCCCATTTTAATCTTTTTTTGGTTCTTTTTCGTGGCAATTCCATGGTGTTCTTTTTTTTTTGTTTAATCATTTCGTGCTGTGGAAATGAGGTTTTTTCTGTTTTGCAAGTCCAAAAAACAGAGGCTGCAACGAGTGCCTGTGAGTCATTTTCCCACGCCTGCCAGTCGAAATTGGGACGGTTCAGCCAAGCAACGCTTGCTGTACAGCTTTTGCTGTAGTCTTCAACATGTCTTTGCACATATTGATGTAACGCCGCTGCCAACAGCGTAGTTGCAATTTGAAGAAGAAGATAACACCATAGTTGCAAGTGATGTTAGAAGAGCCAACAACGTACTTGCAAGTTAGTAACGTACTTGGAAGTTCTTCGTGAACAGAACGTTAATACCCCACCCCACCCCACCCCGCCCCATGAACGTGGTTAGAGAAGTAACGTACTTGACAGTTCTTCGCGGACAGAAACTTTAATGACCCCTCAACCCACCATACCCCCCCCTACTACCCCATGACGTGGTTAAGAAGTGAGTAACGTACTTGGAAGTTCTTCGTGACAGATGTTAATACCCACCCCACCCACACACCCCCCCGCCCGCAGGAACGTGGTTAGAGGAAGTAACGTACTTGAAAGTTCTTCGCGCAGAACTTTAATACCCCCCCCCACCCACCCTACCCTGAACGTGGTTACGAGAAGTGAGTAACGTACATTGGAAGTTCTTCTTTGACAGAACGTTTATAACCCCACCCCACCCCCTTAACGTGGTTAGAGAAGCGAGTAACGTACTTGAAAGTTCTTCGGCGAACAGAACTTTATACCCCCAACCCACCCCACCCCACCCTACCCCTGAACGTGGTTAGAGAAGTGAGTAACGTACTTGAAAGTTCTTCGCGGACAGAACGTTAATACCCCACCCTACCCCACCCCATGAACGTGGTTAGAGAAGTTAGCATTACAAGCACGGTTTTGGGTCCGCTGGCGAAAATATGCGTCACTACACGTTCGGTTTTCGGTCCCCTGGCACAAACATGTTGCCGTAAGCCGTTCGGAAGCCCATGTTGGGCCAAGAGAGCTGGGGCTCGAACCAAAATTCACAGAATCCGAATCAGAGATCGGAAATTGCAGTAAGCTCGGCGCAAGGAATCCGTCCGTAAGCAAGTCATAAGCGAAGGTTGCTTTCAGGGACCCCTGACACATTGTGGTACTGTACTTTTTACATTGGATCATTACATTTCCCCAATAGTTTTATTCTTCATATTTCCAACGTCTCCGAGTGTTAATTTACTCGTTTTTGTTATAGTGGGTTTTAAACAAATATAAAAAAATACATCTTCCCGGCCTGTGTTTTTCACTAAAACTTAACTCTTTGGATTGCCGTAAGAGATGCGTAAGCTAGTTCTTTGAAGTTGTTGTGTCGTAAGCAAAACCCTGGAAAACGTAAGCAGCCTTAAGCTCCTACGTAAGCTTTAAATTATTTCTCAGGAGATCAAAAGGAATTTAGAACACAGCTCATTTGTAGCCTGTGCCCATGATGTTGCAAGGCTATTTCACGGCGCAACCTGCAACACTTAACTTCTTCACTTCTGGGGCAGTTCAGCATTGCAAGTGCCTGCATGAACGTGGTTTGCAAAGATCTTGTGACTTAATCTGTTTCGCTCTTTTTCCAACACGATTTTTGCATTGCTAAACTCATTCTTTGAGATGGGCGGAACGGCAGAAACATAGTGAGTCTGAACAGGAACGCTGCGATTACGCTGCGTATGCTTTGCGTTGAGATGGTTGAGGGAAATCAAATGTTGGAGCAGAGAAGTGGAATTCATGCAGTTTCTTCATGTTTCGTGTGTCTTCTTGTCAGATGCTCAACGAAACGCCGAAACCCAGGGGTTCTTGCCAAGTTTCAAAGACAAAACCGGATGTGAGTTTGTGCAGGTTCAAAGCTGGAGAAGATCTGCGACTGGTCTCGACAAGTGCTTCTTTATTCATGAGATTGACATTGTTTTCAAGTTTTCAGCAATTTCTAATGGGTAATCCCGCTACGTCCTTTTCGGTCTCAGCTTCAGTCCATGACATCCATGACATCAGGTGGCCAAGTGATTCACAGATTGACGCTGAACTCATCGAGCTCCAAGGTGAAGCTGCCTCTATCACCTTGAACCGCAACGCCGTGCACGGTGGGGCCAGATTGGGAAACCACTGAGCCATGCGAAACATGGGAGTACCGCTGGTAAACCATGGAAAACATAGCTGTTTCAGACAGTGTTGTGTGAACAGCTGTGACGACTTTGTAAAAGGATGCAATGAACGTGCCAAAGTATGCAGTGCTCCCGGTACTCATTGCAGAGCAGCCTTGTCCATCAGGGAAGACTTGGCATTCCAATCCCAACAGATAAATGTGCGATACATGGAACCCATATGTTCCGGGTGCAGGTGGCCCTCCCTGCCAGGTGATGCCTCAGCCCTGAGTCCCGGTGGTGTGCGAGTCGGGGCACCAGCCATGACCACCCGAGGGTGCACTCAGGAGGACTGGAACCTGACTGGAACAGCAGGATTGAATCTGTAGAAAACATTTTTCACGTAAAATCAATAATGAAGCTGCAAATATTGCGAATATGGGTGAATCGTGTGAATCCTGTGCCCTTTTGTCAGCTTTATGCTGGATTTGAAGGGGATTTGCAGATTTCAGATATTTCAGGACTTCAAGAAGATCGGTGAGTTCTTGGACCGCTGCTGTCAGATCGCTCTGAAGATCCAATCTGAAAAGGGCAAAAAATTGAAGGACTTTGAGGCGCACACATACAGCTGGGGAGTGTCTATTTAGATTATAGAAATGGGTTTGAAGGGGTTACAACAGGGTGACAGGAGCTGCGGTAGCTTCCATCTTGGAAGCCGTGGCTCCGACTTCCAGTCACTTGAGTTTACAGATAGTTTCTACAGATAGTTTCTACAGATAGTTTCTAGATGTTTCGAGAGTTTTGCTTTGAAATGCCTCTGACGGCAGCTTGGTATCCGTTGAGATCATAACAGGATTCTGGGACCTGTGTTTGACTGTGGAGAGACTCGCGCAAGAAGTCATGGTTCGGTGATGTTCGGTGACTGCTTCATGTTAATCCAAGATTATCCCAGGATGTGTCACAATTATGTGTCCATATGTGTCCGTCAGGCAGCCATCCCAGGATACGCAGAGGTCCAGACCTTGAAGAGGGAGGCGACGAAATGAAGATGCCATGGAACTCCTGGTGTGAAACGCGACTGCCGCGACTGATGCTACGATGTGAAAAATATAATGCTTCAGATATGGACTTAAGATGACTGAAGTGTTTCTTTTGTGGTTATTCCGATACAGTTTAAGAGACGCGTTTAGGATCCTTTAGGACCTCTTAGGATATCATGATGATGGTGATGATGATGTTGGATCGGAATCCCTTCCATTTTTCTGCCACGTGCAGCCGTTGAAGTACATGTCAAGGTGGAAGAATGGGCCGTCAAGTTTGGCTACCCTGGCCTCTGAGATACTCTGAGTCTACTGCACCGTGTCAAAACCTCACCTGCAGAGTTCAGAGATCAAGAGAGATCAGATATCCCATGATATTCAGACATGCTCAGACCATGTCAATTGAGTTCACAATGCAAACGTTGAGCTATGGATTCCACATGCTTCCACAGGGCTGTGTGTCAGCTTTTATCTTGGCAGCGGAAATCAGATCCTGCCAAGTCCAATGAATTGGCGTCCTGGCAGCGCAGCGAGGAATCCTGCCAGCGATCCACCAACGCGAACAAAAAGCCCTGCGGCCCTGCGTCAGATCATCTGAGCTTCCGAGCTTATGAGATGTCCGATATGATATGTTGGTGGCGTAAGTCACTGAAAGTCACTGTAAGTCCGTGTGCGTGTTGCTGATGGAAATTTGGCAGTATTGCAGGCCGTGGCGCGAAAGCTGTGGGCTTCACGCGCAGATTTGGAAGCACTTGCAGGTGGGTGCAGATTTTCAAAAAACCCTCTGACAAGTCAGAGTCAACTTTGAGAGAACAGCAATGCAAGGGTGAAGGTAGTTGCCAGAGCACATCATCGCAGTAGAAAGATTCAGAAAGATCTTGGTCGGCACTGACATAGCATGCGGCACGGCACTCTTGGCTTACTCCCCCGAAAACCAACGTTGGGCAAAAAAAATAAAAAAAAAGGTTCCATGTTAGCGCACCCATGTTAAAATTCATGAGCGGGATAAAGGCTAGGTAGGTGCCATGTTGGTGGTGCTGAATTTGGACATTTTTGCACACTTTTTGGCTGCATGGCATGCTAACATAGAACCCCACAAGCTGCCAGTGAGTGTTCATCCAAAAGTTCCATGTTAGCCACGGCGGCTGACACAGGGAGTGACAATCGAAGTATTGAACACATATGCGGGTTCCAGGTTGGCCCTGCGGGTCCCCTCGCTTTCGTGCTTCGTTTTCCAGCAACGCGCGCGCGCGCGCGTTGGCGGAAAACGATGCTCACCCCGACTCGTTGCATTGGGATCAGCCCGGTGGAACCGCTACAGGGAGACACAACGGGGAGACACAACGGGGAGACAAACCCACCTGGAACCCAACTTGGAAACTGAATGGGCACCTTGTAACATATTGAAGTTTTAACATTGTGCATATGTGTTCAATACTTCGATATTTTTGTTTGAAAAACAGATTTTATCGATAAATTCTGCCCACAATCAGTTTTAAAACATTCAGTGGGTCATTTTCAAGGTATTGCAATGAAAATTTGAAAGATTTTTTCAAAATATTTTTTTGGATAGAAATAAATTTGTTAAAAATATCAAAGTATGATACCTTCAGCGTGGCACGAAGTGAAAATTGGTTCGGCCGGAGGTCACTAACATGGAATTTTCAGGGAGAACATCTTAAAGACCATTTGGGTTCCAGGTTAACCTGCAAATCACCCTTCAAGTTTGCAGATCGCTTTGTGACAACTTGTTCAACTTCCAGGTTAGCCATTTCAGGGTGCAATTTTGGTTCAGTTTGGGCCTGCATTGGGTTCCATGTCAGTTTTTGGCTGAATTTGTCAAAAAAGTTAGTTGCGTGATTTCCTGGGGAACAAAATCCACTCGAGACCGTGCCATAGGTTCATGTTAGCAGACCTCAGGAATAGCATGCAGTTCCATGTTGGATTTGGGGGGTGTATCAGTTCGTCCCAGATTATCCGTGTGTCATGTTCTGTATTGTTCTGTGCACCTCGTCGTGTCCCTCTTGGCATGTTGAAAGGTGATGGCATGACAACGTTGCACGTGGCAGCCTTCAATGACCAAGAGGCAACTTTCAGCAGCATGCAGCAAGAATAATGCGACAGCTCACACAGTTTTTTTTGTCTGCCATTGTTCATGGTGGTGTCCAGTTCCCTGACCAGTCCCCTTTCATTTCCCAAACAGATCCTTGGTGTTCGAGGGGTCAGGCTATTCCTTGTGTGTTTCCTATTTGCCTTTGTTCAACTTTGTTCCTCTGGTGGCGCGTGACTTTGGGATGTTCTGACTGTCCGTCGAATTCCCTGTCAAGAGATGTCCCAGCTTGCCTGTAAGGATGCGTCGGTGCTTGGGATGGCCATGTTTGCAAAGCTTCAAGTGGCTACGTTAATGTGAACATGACATGGCCGAAGGACAGACCTTGCTTCCAAAAAATAGATGTTTGATGTTTGAACCTCTTGAAATTGGATTGTCTGGTTCGCCAACATTTACTCGATGGGCAGTTGACATTACTTCATGCTTCAGCATGCTTTGTATGCAGCGTGGCAAGTCAATGACAAACGGTTGGCAAACCATTACCACAGCCGTGCTTTCATCCGCTTTCCAGCTTGGGAGACTTGGAAGAGTCACCACTGCCACAGGACGTGATTAGCTTTCTTTGCCAACAACGAGTGGATCTGCCCTGCACTCAATCGTCGATGGTCGATGAAAAACCGAACAGGCTGTGGGATACAAAACATATATTCGATTTTGCCATGTCTCTGTGTCTGTGTGTGTTTGTGTACTGGAATTGGATGAAATTGGAATAGTTTCATTGGGTTCGTACATAGGTATTGCATACCTGTTCCATCTTGTTCCTATCCTGGGAAACATGCCGTAGGCCTTGACCTTACGCAAGTCAGGGAAGATACCGAGTACGAAACACTGCCATCATGATGTGAACCTCTGTGTCATTGCTTGACGGAGGTCATTTTATTAAATCCCGAAAGGCAAGAGAAGCATCAACATAATGAGTCACATGAAAACACTACACCCGGGGGGCCGGGAATTTAGCCAGGTTTCGTCGATGTTGTGATGGAGTAAGGTGAATGAAAGGAACATTAAAGAATACAACACTATTTGAAGATATTTGAAGCGTACACCTTGAATGAGCCATGGGTAGAAAGAACACATGCAAGAAAAAATGATTACAACGCCAAACTCTGTTCACTCATTCCTCAACTTTTGGAAGTAAACCTTCCTTGCGGATCCTTGCGGTACTACTTGTCTTCTTGTATATGTAAGATAGGGGAAACATGAGGAAAGACCGATGCAATCACGATTGCCACAACACAACACCAGACCACAAGACCACAGGGGAATCAGTCTCGACACAAAATTCTTCATGTTTGGCACTTAGAACGAGCCATGAGTACAAACATCCAGAGCAAACAGTAACTCTCAAACGCCAAGTTGTTTTAAGCGGTAGTGCATGCAGAGCGCACAGTTTCAAAATTGAACCATCCTTACTGTGCTATGGGCCATACCCACATCCATCCAGACCCTGTAGTTGGGCCAGCTGCAAATGCGTCCCTGGTGGGATTGTGCAATGAGCTTGGCTCAAGGGAAGAGCAACATGAGCAACGCAAGAAATAGCGGAAGAGGATGGAGGAGGTGAATGTCCGAAGAGCTCCGAAGACAATCCAAGCCTTAGGCCAGTTGAGCATCCCTGTCATCTACAGTCAAGATGACGGGCAAAGGAAGACTAGGGATACTTCAGGGCCGCAAGAGGCAAGAGGAAGCTGCCTATGAGAGGACTCAATAAAAACTGAGGGGAAAGCTAAAGGATCTAAAGGGAAGTCAGACAAAGAGATACAAAGAGAAAAGAAGGCTTCACATTGGGATGCCCGCTCCTGCGGTCATTTGCATGCATTCGCGCGCATTCATGCATACCCGCCTATCTACACCCTTGTGCCCACTCGCACTGTCTCAAAGTGAAATCATGCAGAATTTAGCTTTTGAACAGAACAGATTTGAATACAGTGAATACTTGCCATTAGATGAAATACCATTAAAATCATATTCATGTATTGGGCAACAAGTGATGAGAAGAATTTCATGGTGATTTTGCACAACTTTGCGCGTGCCGACCTCTACCCAGGGAGGCGCAAGAGCTATGAGGGAGTTCCCGGCCCCTCCGGCCTTTGTTCTGGTTTTGCACCGGCTGACATCTTTTCACGCTCATTTTCGCCTGTTGTGCCATGTCAAATTTGCGATCCTGTCCTGTGCATGAAAGACACCCGGAGCGCAAATTGGAAACGCCAAGGAGACAATGAGAATAGCTTTGAGGAGCTTTGCTGTATTTCTTGGAAATGTTGTCCTGCAACCACATGTCCACTAGATTCTGCATGTTTCACTGCACCACCCGATGCAGCACATGCTGCCATGCCAGGGCCGCCTTGAGGTCTTCGAGCATGCGATGAACAGCATGCACGACAACCTTGTTCATGCTCACAGGTTGTCGTGCATGCTGTTCATCGCATGCTCGAAGACCTCAAGTCGGCCCTGCCGGCAGTGAAAGCCAATGTGGACTTACCCCGAAAGGCAGGTTGCGGATGTGTTCGCAGAAGCCTTGTTGTAGTACAAAAGAATCAATTTCAGGTTTCGGCCTCGCTCATGGAAGAATAAATTGCATGGCACTCAGAAGAGTGCCGTGCAATTTATTTCTTTGCAATTTATTTCTTTGCAATTTATTTCTTTTGTTAATGGCAGAGAGAATGCGACTGGCTTTGGGATCACATGGTTGAGTCTTTTGTTTGCGGCACCATTCTGGCATATGCTGTTTTTAATTTCGTCATTTGCTCAGTCATTTATAATGCAGTGACACAGGCCGAAAAAGAATGCTAAAATTGCCATGCCATGAATGCCCGTGAATGCCATCAACGTGTGGCGCTGGGAAATTCATTGACTGTATGATACAGTCAGTGTCTTCCACTAAAAATGTGTATGGTAATGTATCCATTTGAAGGGCCCAAAGGCCACCTGCGCCAAGGCCCAAAGATGAAATGAGGTGAGCAGTGGTCACGACGGTGGAAATGATCATGGTGTGCTAGGAACATCTCTTCGAAAAAGTAGCTTCCGATCACGACAAAGCTTGACTAAAGATTGCAAACATGTGGGATCTACCTTTGAGTGCCACTGCCACTGATGAATCGGTTCAATGTTCAAGACTTTCTCCGAACTGCTTGCTGAAAATGGTAACTGGGCACTTTGTGTGTTGACTGCTGGGATGTCTGCATCATGTGTATTTGCATATAAGAACTTCCAGCCCCGGCAACTTCCGAGCCCTTTGAAGTTGGGATACTCCGCAAACTCAACAAGCTCCCCTTTACACCAGGTGTGCCGAAGAGACCTTTATTTTGTGTGGAAGTCTCCGAAAATTGCATCCTGTGCGTACTCGCATAAAATGCCTTCGGGGACATTTGGTTTAGTTAACACTATTTTGAATTATTTTGATCTATTTTACACGATTTTTCCGTTTGATTTCTCTATTTGATTTGCTTGTTGGAGAGCAATTCTGGAATCATTTTATGGTTGACATGGTTGACACCTGCAGGCTGAAACCTACGACGCCCATTGCGGCTTCGAAATTTGAGGTTCAACTTTACCTCGAGGTGCCAAGGGACGTGGTTTTGCTGCTGGAAACGTTGATGACTTTCCGTGGCTCGCAAGACTTCCCATGCCACAGCAGTTCAAGTAGTTCCCATCTCTTGTCTCTTAAAAAATGCATTCCGTGCGCATGAAATCTTCAGACTCCGAATGCTGTCAAGTGCCCCTTAGGCCAGGATGTCTTGCATGCCGCTTCCGTCGCAGCTTTCTCTATCTCATCCGGGGTTTGATCTGCATCGGGTCGACAGTGGAAGATGGCGTCTCAGGCTCTTGTGGTTGCACTGTGAAGATTCCTAGTGTTGAATATGCAGCCAAGTCATCCCATTTACTTCGAACTGTATTGTGTGGAATTCACCATATCGCAAACCCATCCATTAAATTCAAAGCCCCCCATGTGCCCCCTCCAGCGCAATAAAATTTGCACGTTCCATACTGCACCAGCCGCGCAAAAATTGTTGGGGTCCGTCGGGCAGAAAACAGAGAGGCCAAGAACAAGAAGAACCAAAGGAATAAGAAGAAGAAGAAGAAGAAGATGGAGAGGAAGAAGAAGAAGAATAAGAAGAAGAAGAAGAAGGAGGAAGAAAGAAGAAGAAGAAGGAAGAAAGAAGAAATAAGGAAGGAAGAAGAAAGAAGAAAGAAGGATGAAGAAAGGAGAAAGAAGAAAGAAGAAAGAAGAAAGAATAAAGAAGAAAGAAGAAAGAAGAAAGAAGAAAGAAGAAAGAAGAAAGAAGAAAGAAGAATAAAGAAGAAAGAAGAAAGAAGGAAGAAGGATGAAGAAAGGAGAAAGAAGAAAGAAGAAAGAAGAAAGAATAAAGAAGAAAGAAGAAAGAAGAAAGAAGAAAGAAGAAAGAAGAAAGAAGAAAGAAGAAAGAAGAAAGAAGAAAGAAGGAAGAATAAAGAAGAAAGAAGAAAGAAGAAAGAAGAAAGAAGAAAGAAGAAAGAAGAAAGAAGAAAGAAGACAGAAGAAAGAAGAAAGAAGAAAGAAGAAAAAATAATGGAGAAAGAACAAAGAAGAAAGAAAAAACAAGTAAGAAGAAAGAATAATGAAGAAAGAAGAAAGAAGAAAGAATAAAGAAGAAAGAAGAAGGAAGAAGGAAGAAGGAAGAAGGAAGAAATAAGAAAGAAGAAAGAAGAAAGAAATAACACAGAAGAAAGAAGAAAGAAGAACGAAGAAAAAATAATGAAGAAAGAAGAAAGAAGAAAGAAGAAAGAAGAAAGAAGAAAGAAGAAAGAAGAAAGAAGAAAGAAAAAAGAAGAAAGAAGAAAGAAGAAAGAAGAAAGAAGAAAGAAGAAAGAAGAAAGAAGAAAGAAGAAAGAAGACAGAAGACAGAAGACAGAAGAAGGAAGAAAGAAGAAAGAAGAAAGAAGAAAGAAGAAAGAAGAAAGAAGAAAGAAGAAAGAAGAAAGAAGAAAGAAGAAAGAAGAAAGAAGAAAGAAAAAAGAAGAAAGAAGAAAGAAGAACGAAGAAAGAAGAAAGAAGAAAAAAGAAAGAAGAAGAAAGAAGAAAGAAGAAAGAAGAAGAAGGAAGAAAGAAGACGGAATAATGAAGAACGAATAAATAAGAAAGAAGAAAGAAGAAAGAAGAAGAAGAAAGAAAAAAGAAGAAAGAGGAAAGAAGAAGAAGGAAGAAAGAAGACGGAAGAATGAAGAACGAATAAATAAGAAAGAAAAAAGAAAGAAGAAAGAAGAAGAAGAAAGAAAAAAGAAGAAAGAGGAAGAAGAAAGAAGAAAGAAGAAAGAATAAAGAAGAAAGAAGAAAGAAGAAAGAAGAAAGAATAATGAAGAAAGAAGAAAGAAGAAACAAGAAAAAGGAAAGAAGACAGAAGAAAGAAGAAAGAAGAAAGAAGAAAGAAGAAAGAAGAAAAAATAATGAAGAAAGAAGAAAGAAGAAAGAAAAAACAAGTAAGAAGAAAGAATAATGAAGAAAGAAGAACGAAGAAAGAAGAAAGAATAAAGAAGAAAGAAGAAGGAAGAAGGAAGAAGGAAGAAGGAAGAAATAAGAAAGAAGAAAGAAGAAATAAGAAATAACAAAGAAGAAAGACGAAAGAAGAAAGAAGAAAGAAGAAAGAAGAAAGAAGAAAAAATAATGAAGAAAGAAGAAAGAAAAAACAAGTAAGAAGAAAGAATAATGAAGAAAGAAGAAAGAAGAAAGAAGAAAGAAGAAAAAAGAAAGAAAGAAGAAAGAAGAAAGAAGAAAGAACAACGATCATAGAAGAAAGAAGAAAGAAGAAAAAAGAAATAATAAAGAACTCAGAAGAAAGAAGAAAGAATAAACAATAAAGAGGAAAGACTAAAGAAGAAAGAAGAAAGAAGAAAGAAGAGAGAAGAGAAAGAAAAAAGAAAGAAGAAAGAAGAAGAAAGAAAAAAGAAGAAAGAGGAAGAAGAAAGAAGAAAGAATAAAGAAGAAAGAAGAAAGAAGAAAGAAGAAAGAAGAAAGAAGAAAGAATAATGAAGAAAGAAGAAAGAAGAAACAAGAAAAAGGAAAGAAGACAGAAGAAAGAAGAAAGAAGAAAGAAGAAAGAAGAAAAAATAATGAATAAAGAACTCAGAAGAAAGAAGAAAGAATAAAAAATAAAGAGGAAAGACTAAAGAAGAAAGAAGAAAGAAGAAAGAAGAGAGAAGAGAAAGAAAAAAAAAACAGAAGACAACAGAACAAAACATGCAAACGCCGACCTGTCATACCCTGAGAAACACTGAAGCAAAACTGGTGACTTTAAAACTTGTCTAAGACAGAGCATGTGGACCGACTGACCTTCAAACTCCCAAGGTCAGTGAACCCTTTGATTGTTGCAGTTTACAGTTACAAAAACAATCAACAAACTCCATGCTTGGAATGAACCTTGGATGGTGAACATTGACCGAGACAGGCAAATGCATCTTCCAGCCACCGCTGCTGCGACTTGCTGAAGGACAGTAGAGGGGGCTCACATCTACAAGCAAGCAGGGTTTAAATTGGGGGCTGACTAGACCTGTCTGCAGTGAACTCATCAACCCGTTATGCTGCGACCAATGCAAATGTTCAGAAAGACGTGCCGATAGATGATTACAACCACAAGAATCCGGGGCCTCGTGACCAACTGGCAGCCTAACAATGAAACTGCGCCATAATTTGACAGGATTTTGGACACAAACTGCGTGATCCACGATGAACTTGGCACAGGCATAGTTCAGCTGGCACCCATGTGCGAATGACCTTCAGCTAAGTCCAATCCCCCCATTCTTATCTAGTTGGGCAACTGGGCTTGTGGCCACTCATTTTTCTGACAACAATCCAGGTGTTCCAAGCTGATCTGAAGTTAATTATTTCATATTATTTCCATCTTGTCTCGGACCCCGTCTCTCTGAATGCACCAATACACTCAATACACTGCACCTTGTACTGGATCTGCTGATGTTCAGAGTGTGTTGGAAGTCTGAGGGGAAGGGCTCCAGGAGTTGTTGAAGCCCTTCTTCGGCCGCCGGACTCCAGCAGCACCACCGGCACAGTCCGAGTTAGGTGCCGCAAGATGTTGAGCTCGGGAAAGGTTTCCTCTCGGTTCCAACATTGAGGTGGCCATACTTGTCATTCCCGAGCCTTTTTCAACCTTTTCAAGTTTCATTCTTTTCGGCTTGGAAGGTGCTCGACATTGCGGCAGTCCATCCTAGATTTGGGTGTAGCCATGTCTTGCAGGTTCGACTCTCTTGGAAGAACCTGTGCCAGCATGCCTCTTGGTGGCAGCGGGCCGTTGGGGCGCTGGAAACATGGCAGACAGACTGGCCGGTGCCCTTAAAAATGCCTCCGTTCTGGGTGCTAATGCTAATGATCCATTGAGAGACAATCGCGGTTTACTGGAACAAACCAAATCATCAGTTCTAAATCAGGAAGTCAAGCATTCCCACTTCAGGAGGAACAGCTGGATAGAGGTCAGAGTTTGGAGAAAGTTGAACGTGAAGGCTAGCAGACCTCGGGAAGCGACTGAAAGTCAGAGTTCAAAAAGCTGAATTTCAGTTTCAATTGAGCCTGTTTCTGGTGCAAGTTGTTTGCATTTGCTTCAAAGTTTATTGTCCAGAATTCACCATATCACACACACACACACATCTATTAATTTCAAAGCCCCCCCATGCCCCCCTCCAGCGACATAATCTGCACGTCGCATGCTGCACCAGTCGCAAACATGTTTCAATTGGGGGCCCGGCATGCAGAAAACAGAGAGCACAAGAACAAGAAGAGCCAGGAGGAGAAAGAGAAAAGAAGAACAAGAAGGCGAAGAACATGACGGCGATGAAGAAGAAGATTATGAAGATGTAGAGGAAGAGGAAGAGGTTGACGAGGAGAAGGAGGAAGAAGAAGAAGAAGAAGAAGAAGATGGAGAGGAAGAAGAAGAAGAAGAAGAAGAACAAGAAAAATAATGCAACAAGAAAAGCAGATGCAAACGCCGACATGTCGTACTGTGAGAAGCAGTGAAGCAAGACCGGTGAGTTTAGAGTCTATCTACGACAGAACATGCAACCCAACTGACCCTCAAACTCGAAAGGAAAGTGAAGGGAAACCGTGTGAAACGGCAGATTTACTCTGGACTGAACGAAGTCATAATAGATCACAATAGTATAGAATTCAACTCCCAAGGTCAGTGACGCGGAATCAACTCCAGAGGTGATAGGACTTCACGTCTCGGACTGAAAACACCAAACTCAAATAGTTCACAACCTTGACCCTTGTACAGCTTTTAAACGGTAATCCGGAGAGACTTGAGGGTTTTAGAATGCCAAGATCTCCCAGGGGTGAGCAGCCGCTGCCAAGGTCAGCGTGAGCTGAAACAGATGGTTGCATCTGTGACGGAGGCAGCGCATTTTCTAGGGTATTTGGCATGTTCACGAACGGCAAGGATTTCAAGTTGTAAGGGGCCAGATTTTTTTGCAGCCAACCCGGCCAACCCGTTGGCTGGAATGAAAACGCCTTGGGAAATTGTGAGCATCATGCATTCCTGGCCAGGCACCAAACCAGCCGCAGCAGATGCCGCAGGTGCTGCCGCAGGTGCTGCCGCAGGTGCTGCCGCAGGTGCCGCAAGTGACCCAAGAGCCGCAACAGCAGGTGGCAGAGGTGGCAGAGGTGGCAGAGGTGGCAGAGGTGGCAAAGGTGACAGAGGTAGCACGGCGTGCTTATGTGCCGAAACCGCCACGTGAGGGCCCGCCATGCACCTCGGCAGACCGTGCCATTTCTCATAATTTGCCTTTGCTGTGGGCGTTCCATTCTGAAAGGATTTCCTAAGGAAGCTTCCACTTCAAGTTTCAAATATTTCACATTATTTCACTATATATATAATATATATTTCACTATATATATATATATATATATATATATTTCACAATATATATATATATATATTTCACTATATATATATATTCACTATATATATATATTTCACTATATATATATATTTCACTATATATATATATTTCACTCTATATATATATACATATATATATAGTGAAATATTTCACTATATATATATAATAATATATATATATATGTGTATAGATATTTATGTGGAACGAAGGTGAATCCCGGGCACTTTGGGAAATCCACCACGAATCGATCGTTTTTTGAAGAATGCAACCTACAGGCGGCCAATCCTCAGGTTTGATAAACTGCTTGAGGGCGCTCCGCGCAAACCCCGGGGATGTACAGATGGCCCTCGCAGCAGCGGAGGCGCCGGAGGGCAGGGTCACCCCGATGGTGTCTGTGGGTCTTGATTTTACAGCACCTGTTTGTTCCAAGACACCGTCTTTCTAGCCAATCAAAATGCGGGGTTGACAAGTTCAATCTGCGCTCGTGTTTGCTTGGTATTATGAAACACATGTTCCATATTGATGTGACAAATTTGCTCATCAGAGCGCTGGCTTTCAGTTGGCGATATAGAGGTTAGTTCGCCAAACTTTCGTGTCACCATATTTCAGAGCAGGTACAGATTCTTCAGCTCGACATTGCGTGAGATTATGTCAAATTATGTTCAGAGACGATCAAATATGTAGAGACATGTTTCAAAGGCGTTATTTGGATAGATTGGAGCAGCAGTTGTTCCTCGGGTATTTGTGACTTTTGTGTAGGGCTGGGCAGGGCCATGTGCTCTGTCTATCCCCAACCCAGGGAATTGTCAAGAAATATGTCTTAATTCTGGCATGGATATGCATTGATTTTATCTGGCTGAGAGTGCCCACTAGGCCCTAGGCTTCCGATAGATGTCCAGATTTTGAGGTGGCGAGTCCGCTTGCCACGAGAGACGAAAGAGTTTCCTGTTTCCCAATTTTCAGCCCATTCTCACATATTTAATCTGATATCGGCATTTCACATGCTGCCACTGGCAGTGCTAGCATTCACTCCAGCCGCTCCAGCAACCTTGCTGTGGCATTTTTTTATGTTTCTTGCAGGAGCCGAAAAATGATTTCTTCACCTCTGCCATCATCCTCGGCGGCCCATCTGGCAAAATAGCAGGACAACACTAACACAGAATTCTTTACTAAAGCGGGCGAGGGGTAGTCTTCATGACATTTTTCATCACTTTTCATGCTTTTTCGATATGCCATAGCCACGGGTTGGGAGAATATCTCTTCATCATTCTTCGTCTACATGTCTTGATATGTCGTGATCATTGGCAGTTCTTGAGGCATTAGCCAAGTGCAACTAGTGACAGCGAGTTTGCTAGAAACCCAGATGGATGGATAACTTTCAAGAGGAACATTGAGGAACATCGAGGAACATTACGGGAATTGGAAGTTAAGACAGTTAAGACTTAAGACCCGTCAAGGTAAATTGTGATTCAAAATTCAGGGATGGAATTGGGGGTCTGGAGAATGTTGATTGTTCAACTATGTAAGGTTGATCAGTTGTCGTCGCACAAGCAGTCTGACTCAGTCTGACACTTGTCTTCTTTGAGCAGCAATACCTTGAAATCAGTCTTCGTTTTCCAGCTTACGAAGCTGCCAGTGTATCAAATACACCACAAACCTTGGCTTTTCTCATTGAGGGCCCCACCAGGTATGCCGAAAAGACCTCTCCTTTGCGTCGAAGTGACGCAACAAACCATAGAGTGCGAGGGAAGGCAGCTGGGGCATACGGCGGTTGGGTCAGGGTCAGGAACGGGCCCAGATTGATTGTGATCTTGAGATTTTGCGCATACGGGGTGCCACCAGCTTGTGATGTTCACAATTTTTCAAACAGGTGGCTCAATGGTCAAGCATCTTTGTGTCCAGAGTGGTGTTTTATCATGTTTTATCAAATGTGAAACCGAAAAGGAGCATGTCAGCATGTTCTAAAGTGGCGTTGATCGGGAAACATATCATTCTTATTCATTTTCTTGATTTTCCAGGAAGGAGGAAACCACCCCCACGCCACGCCAGCACGCCCTGTTGCGGTGTGGCGATGCTGACGCTCGAGTTCGAGCAGCTGGAGGTGCCATGTTCAGAGAGAGGCAGAACTCATATAACTTTTCATTGTTTAAGTTTAAGACATTCCTGGACAGTCAAACCGGACATTCAGCAGGTCGAACTGATCTTAGTGGTGTTTTTTGTTGGGGGATGCCCATGTAATGTTTCCTCTGTGACAACTACTGCAAGTTTCGGCCCTACAATGTGAGGGCTGACCGTGACTGGCGGCAGCAGTTTTGAGCGTGCATGGGTTGAAGGGTCCAAGTCCTATTGTGTGGAACTTGATATTGTGTCAATGGCTTCACTCATTGTATACCTCTGGATTGCCGCTTCAGTGATCAAAACCAACAAAGCCATGTTTCCTCAGCATCTTGAATTACCATCCGGGCTTGGGATTTTCGGGGCACCAAGCTGTTTTTTTCCGCAGTCCCTGCAGGAGACGCTGGCCAATTGGCCAGATCCAAAAGACCATCCTCAAGAGCTTGAGCAGATGGAGAAAGAGCAGAAGGAGCTGATGCTCAGCTGCGCTATGCTGCGAAGATTGCTGGGGCTGAGATTCGTAGAGTCACACGCTGGAGCTGAGATGATTTGAACACTCAGTTGGGATGGACACGTCTTTGTTGGACAATCCATGGTGACCACGAGTACTTCCAAGGGAGCATCTCCATTGAGGGCAGCCCACGCAAAGAGGTTCCATCTTTCGCTGCCAACACCTGGAATTCCGTAGATGTGTAAATTCGATGTTTCGCAATGCCAGCCGCCAACCCAGGATACGAACCATTGGCTGACTATGCCCCCGATAGGTAGGTAGGTAGATGTAGGTAGATGTAGGTAGATGTAGGTAGATGTAGGTAGATGTCGGTAGATGTCGGTAGATGTAGGTAGATGCAGGTAGATGTAGGTAGATGTAGGTAGATGTCGGTAGATGTAGGTAGATGTAGGTAGATGTAGGTAGATGTAGGTAGATGTAGGTAGATGTAGGTAGATGTCGGTAGATGTAGGTAGATGTAGGTAGATGCAGGTAGATGTAGGCAGGTGTCGGTAGATGTAGGGAGATGTCGGTAGATGGAGAATAGATGTAGGTAGATGTAAGTAGGTAGGTAGGTATAGGTAGATCCATAGATATATCAATAGAAAGAAGAGATAGCAAGATAATGCACGCTCAGCATATGCGAACAAATGCATGTTGGTGAAGGATCATTTCAAATGGTAAAGATGTTATCCCAAGCGACCCTTTCCTTCGAAATGACCGCTTTCGCTGAGTTTCGCTTGCACTTCTGAGTATTTCAATCAATTGAGCACATTTTGAGCATGTTCCGTTGAACATGTATGTATATTGCACAAGGCGAACTTCGATGTTGCACAGGTCTGGTTGGATGCACAGGCTTAGTTGGATGATGCAGGCGTAAAACTGGATGTTTCTAGGAAAAACGCCCTTCAAATTTCTGGCTAAAGGCTTGCGCTCAAACCAAATTCGAGATCTGAAATTGAAAGCTTCAAAATTCCACAAGGGGTTTCGAACTTCTGGCACTTGGAAGAATTATACTACTATATATATATAATATATAAAATTATATAGATATACATATATATATATAATATATATATATATAAATTACATTATATATATATCATATTATATACTTCTTTTCGAGACGCCCACTTCTGAATCAATTGTGGTTTTTGGCACGTTTGAAGTGGTTGCTTGAGTGACAAAACTGTTTACACGTAGATAATCTGTCCATCAAGTGGCCACCCACATAATTTGTCAATGTGACTTCATCAATGGATGCACTGGAGAGTCTACCCGTATCTGTTTGGGATAGCCATGCGCGATGATGCTTTTGATGATCGTCTTTTGTACCAAAATCGATGGGCCCTTTGTGCAGACCTTGCACACATCCAAGGGTCAAAGCAAAATACCCGGGTGCACAGGCAGATTGGAAGGGGTTGGAAAGGGTCACAGCTTGAAATGGTTCGTGGCAAGGGGATGGCGCAGAGTTTGTATTTCGTTTCGCCAACCAAAGAGCCACTTCAAAGCATGTAGCAATCAGCCTTCGCCAAACATCTACTTTCGTCGTGTGCTCCATTTCTAGGTAGACAAATTGAGATCGTATTTAAATTGGAGATTTGCCGGATGAAAAGTGAAATCATGCAGAATTTAGCTTTTGAGCAGAACAGATTTGAATACAGTTAATACTTGCCATTAGATGCCGTACCATTAACGTCGTCTTCATCTATTGGGCTGTAAACACGTAACGAGAAGAACTTCACGATGACTTTGCACCACTTTTGCGTGTGCCAACCTCTACCCAGGGAGGTGCAAGAGCCAGCAGGGAGTTCGCGGCCCCTCCGGCCTCTGTTCTGGTTTTGCAGTGGCTGACATCTTTTTCTCGCTCATTTCACCTGTTGTACCATGGTAAATTTGGGTGACTCTTTCAAGATCCAGCCGATCCTTTCCAGTGCATTAAAGACATCCGGAGCGCATTGGAAACGCCAAACAAACAATGAGAATAGCTTTGAGGAGCTTTGCTGTATTTCTTGGAAATGTTGTCCTGCAACCACATGTCCACTAGATTCTGCTTGTTTCACTGCACCACCCGATGCAGCACTGCTGCCATGCCAGGCCCGCCTTGAAGTTTTTGAGCATGCAATGAACAGCATGCACGGTTGAGTATTGTTTGCAGCGCCATTGTCGCATATGTTGTATTTGACATGGAATTCGCGTTTTCATACCGTTTTCAATCTGACCATTTGCTCCGCCAAGTACGGATTACCGGAATGCAGTGACACAGGCCGAAAAAAGAATGCTAAATTGCCATGCCATGAATGCCCGGGAATGCCATCAACGTGTGGCGCTGGGAAATTCATTGACTGTATGATACAGTCAGTGTCTTTCCAATGAAAATGTGTATCATGACATGACGTATCCATTTGAAGGGCCCAACGGCCACCTGCGCCAAGGCCAAAAGATGAAATGAGGTGAGCAGTGGTCACGACCGTGGAAATGATCATGGTGTGCTAGGTACATCTCTTCGAAAAGAAGCTTCCGATCACGACAAAGCTTGACTAAAGATTGCAAACATGTGGGATCTACCTTTGCTTTGAGTGCCACTGCCACTGATGAATCGGTTCAATGTTCAAGACTTTCTCCGAACTGCTTGCTGAAAATGGTAACTGGGCACTTTGTGTGTTGACTGCTGGGATGTCTGCATCATGTGTATCTGCATATAAGAACTTCCAGCCCCGGCAACTTCCGAGCCCTTTGAAGTTGGGATACTCCGCAAACTCAGCAAGCTCCCCTTTACACCAGGTGTGCCGAAGAGACCTTTATTTTGTGTGGAAGTCTCCGAAAATGGCATCCTGTGCGTACTCGCATAAAATGACTTCGGGGACATTTGGTTTAGTTAACACATTGTTAACACTATTTTGAATTATTTTGATCTATTTTACACGATTTTACCGTTTGATTTCTCTATTTGATTTGCTTGTTGGAGAGCAATTCTGGAATCATTTTGTGGTTGACATGGTTGACACCTGCAGGCTGAAACCTACGACGCCCATTGCGGCTTCGAAATTTGAGGTTCAACTTTACCTCGAGGTGCCAAGGGACGTGGTTTTGCTGCTGGAAACGTTGATGACTTTCCGTGGCTCGCAAGACTTCCCACGCCACAGCAGTTCAAGTAGTTCCCATCTCTTGTCTCTTAAAAAATGCATTCCGTGCGCATGAAATCTTCAGACTCCGAATGCTGTCAAGTGCCCCTTAGGCCAGGATGTCTTGCATGCCGCTTCCGTCGCAGCTTTCTCTATCTCATCCGGGGTTTGATCTGCATCGGGTCGACAGTGGAAGATGGCGTCTGAGGCTCTTGTGGTTGCACTGTGAAGATTCCTAGTGTTGAATATGCAGCCAAGTCATCCCATTTACTTCGAACTTTATTCTGTGAAATTCACCATATCGCAAACCCATCCATTAAATTCAAAGCCCCCCATGTGCCCCCTCCAGCGCAATAAAATTTGCACGTTCCATACTGCACCAGCCGCGCAAAAATTGTTTTATTTGGGGTCCGGCGGGCAGAAAACAGAGAGGCCAAGAACAAGAAGAACCAAAAGAAGAAGAAGAAGAAGAAGAAGAAAAAGAAAAAGAAGAAGAAGAAGAGGAGGAGGAGGAGGAAGAAGAGGAAGACGAAGAGGAGGAAGAAGAAGAAGAAGAAAAAGAAGAAAAAGAAGAAAAAGAAGAAGAAGAAGAAGAAGAGAAAGAAAAAAATGAAGACGAAGAGGAAGAAGAAGACAAAGACGAAGAGGAAGAAGGAAGAAGGAAGAAGGAAGAAGAAGACGAAGACGAAGAGGAAGAAGGAAGAAGGAAGAAGAAAGAAGAAAGAAGAAAGAAGAAAGAAGAAAGAAGAGAGAAGAGAGAAGAGACAGAAAAAAAACAAGAAATCGAAGACAAGAGAAAAATACATGCAAATAAACGCCGACATGTCGTACCCTGAGAAACACTGAAGCAAAACTGGTGACTTTAAAACCTGTCTAAGACAGAGCATGTGGACCGACTGACCTTCAAACTCCCAAGGTCAGTGAACCCTTTGATTGTTGCAGTTTACAGTTACA